AGGAAAAGGTGGTAAATATACACCATGGAATATTATGTAACCATAAAAAGGATGAGATCGTGCCATTTGAGACAACATGGATGGACCTAAGTGAAATAAGTCAGACTGAGAAAGAGAAATACTATATGATTCCACTCATAAACAGAATCTTAAAAAAATAAACAAACATACAAAAAGCAGAATTAGACCTATAAATACACAGAAGTGATGGTTGTCAGAGGGGATGGGAGTGAAAGGTTAAGCAAAATGGATGAAGGAGGGGGGAAACACATACCTACAGTTATGGTATGAGTAAATCACAGGAATAAAAGGCAAAGCATAAGGAATACAGCCAGTGATACTATAAAAACAATGCTATAGTACAGATGGTAGGTACACTTGGGGTGAACACAGCATAAGGTACAACCATGTCCAATCACAAAATTGTACACCTCAGACTATACAACATCGTGTGCCAACTATATTCCAAAAAGATGTCCAATATTTTAACTAACATGTTTTCATCTATAATGTAATTTTTGTTTTTAAAATATTTTAAATGTCCAGGGGCACTTGGGTGGCTCAGTAGGTTGGGCATTTGTCTTTGGCTCAGGTCATGATCTCAGGACCTTGGGATAGAGCCTCACAGCGAGCTCCCTGCTCAGTGGGAGTCTGCTTCTTCCTCTCCTTCTGCTGCTCCCCTGGCTTGTGCACTCGCATGCGTGTGTGCTCTTTCCCCTTCTCTCTCAAGTAAGTAAATAAAATCTTTAAAAAATTTAAGTGTATGTATAAAAACCCAAGACTCAACAATTTGTTAAGAAGAATAAATGAAAACCATTCGTGGCCAAGATTAGCTTTGTTTCAGTGTGGGAATTTACATATACATCGCCTTTAAAGCAGTAGGTGTCTCCGTGGCTTGCATCCGTTTTATGTATACGTTGAGTATGGTGGGCATTTCTATCAATAATTGTGAATAACAATAGTATTAGATGGCCACCGTGGCCCTCATGAAACCTTCTATTATACATATGCACTATTTTTTCCAGAAATTTCCTACAGAATTCTGCATCCCTTTCCCTCTTCTGACCACAAGCCCACAGTGCATGAAAAGTTTAGACGAGTGTATCTTTCTTAGACATGATCTGTGTCGAGTTGAGTCACCTGCACTATAAATGGTGATTAAATTATCTGCAAAGAAGGAAGCATTTATAAATTGTAAGGAATTCTGGAGTCCAATTAGTTGAGGGTGTGAGCAAATGGCCATATATGCTGCTTTTATTAAAACTGCTTCCACACATAATTAGATTTTTGAAAGGAACCGATTACAATGGTGTTTTTTTTTTCTTTCTAGCAAAGAGAGCACTTCAAAGTTTAAAGAACAGTTGGTAAAGGAACAAAAAGTACAATCCTTTTAAATAGCAAAAATAAAGCTACTGTTATCTAGAATTATGATACAGCGGAAGCCTGTCCTCCTGTCAGCTTTATGGGGAGGCAGGGGGCTAGCCATGGTACTTGCCAGAGAACTGGAACACTTCACCATGACACGCTGTGGGAACTGCTTTTACCACAGTACGTCTACTTATTGTAGGCACTTTTTCTGCAAAGATTGAAAAGTGTTCAATGGAGGACTACCATCTAAATGTCTTGCAGCATAAAATCAAAGGAGCCAAATAATTCAAGTGCATGTTTCCTTTTTTTTTTTTTTAAAGATTTTATTTATTCATTCATTCACACACACAGAGAGAGAGAGAGAGAGGCAGAGACACAGGCAGAAGGAGAAGCAGGCTTCACGCAGAAAGCCTGACATGGGACTCGATCCCGGTCTCTAGGATCATGACCTAGACCGAAGGTGGCGCTAAACCGCTGAGCCACCCGGGCTGCCCTCAAGCGCATGTTTCCTAAGCAAATTTCAATCCGCATACCTTGAAAGAGTTTGGTTTTTCAGGGGAGGTACAACGTGGGTATGCTGGGGTAAGTTTCTTTCTGTGATTTTTCCTAAAATTTAAAACAATGGAAGAATAGCCTGCCTGCCCTATTCCCAACATCATCTGCAAACCTGATTCACTGCCTTTAAGTCTCCTAATTTGCATTGATTATTACATTGGGAAGGCCTGAGGGCCATGCGTCCATGCATATCCCAGAGAGGTTTGTCACCAACAACCCTGCCTATGGATAGAAGCAGTCTGAAAAAGGGTTTTAGCTTCTGGCCTCAGGCAGTCTTTATCTGCAGCCAGGATTCACTCTGAGGTTTGCTGGGCCATTATAATTTCAAAACTATGTTAGAGCTGTATTGCCAGGAAGCAGTTAAAACACTGCCATCTAAACCATAATGAAGGAGAATTTTCTCCTGCTTTGGAGAAGATGGGATAGATGTATTTTCACCTAATCCTCCTGCTCAGTACCACGTTTAAAACCTCGCTATTACATAGAGAACAAACAGAAAAGTCTGAAGGTGGAGAAAAGACAGCAGTCTGGCCAGGGACCTTGTGATCTGAGGAAGGACATGGTACTGAGTTCTCTGGGTGTTCTTTCTGGTTTGGAGATGCCACACCTGGAGTTGAAGAAGCTGGCCACTCTGAAACACCAACAATTACAAACAACAAAAATCCTCAACACAAGTCTACTCTCTTTGGCCAAAGGATCAGGCAAAGGGCGATTTAGTAAGACAAAACTTTCAGTCATAATGGCTCTACTCCAGTTGAACACCACAAAAAACTTTGGCCTCATCCACACCAAGTGGGCAGCTTAGACTTCCATGCTTACCAAGCTGTGCAGAGGTGCCCTCATATCTTCCTCAGAGAAAGCCAAATCAGGAACCAGTACTTTCAGGAAGATGTGGTCAGTGTTCAGTGAAGACAGTATGGGGAACCAAACTGGCCATTGCGAGTTAGCACCCTCCCCGTTCCCCTACCGGTGGAATCACATAAAGCCAGCTAAAACAAGGTTTATATAAGATTCAGAGTCTCATAAGATAAAAATGTCCAGACTTCAATTAAAAATCACTTATTAGACCAAGAACCAGGAAGATCTCAAATTGAGTGAAAAAAGACAATATAAGTCAATAGTAATAGAGTATTAGAATTATCTTATGCAAAAATTTGTTTGTTGACTCAATGTAAAATACAAAACTGTAAAAGTTTTAGGAAAAAAAACCTGGGAGATAAACTTTAGGATATAGGTCTAGACAAAAGAATTCTTAGACTTGACAGCAAAAGCATGATCCATTAAAGGAAATGCTGATAATATGGATTTCATCAATATTAAAAACCTTTAAAAAGACCTTGTTAATAATCTGGATGAATCTCCAGAGAATTATGCTGAGTTTAAAAAAAAAAAAGCTTATTACAAAATGTTATATACTGCTTGATTTCAGTTCTACAACATGCTTGAAATGACAAAATTATAAAAATGGAGAACAGATTTGTGATTGTCAGGGTTGAGGAGGAGGTGGAGATGGGAAGGAAGTGGGTTGGATTGTATAAAGGCAACATGAGGGATCTTTGGGGTGATGGAAATATTCTGTGTCTTGACTGTATTAATGTCAATATCCTAGTCGTGATATCGTCCTATAGTTCTGTAAGATATTACCATTGTGGAAACTGGGTAAAAGCTCTGTAATGTTTCTTACAACTCTAATAATTCTTACAACTGCAAGTGGCTACGATTACCACAAAACGAAAAGTTTAATTTAAAAAACATGAAAAATAAAATAAAATCAACCCCCCAAAACCCCAAACTTCCAAATCCATAATGAACCCCAGGAGTCTTAAGCAACAATGACATGTTTTGAGCATTTACTTTGGATCAAGTAGTGTGCTAAATATGCAAAGCCAAATGTACATCCCATGATGTAGGTACCATTTTCCACATGAAACTGAAAAATCAATTGCTTGCTCCGCTCTTCTTTAAATGAGGCAGTACAGCTATTACACACATCAGGAAGCTTTTGATACTATCTTTAAATTAATTTGTTAAAAGAAAGAGTTTAATTTTGTTTCCCAAACTCAGAGCTTGGTTTCCTCAGGTAAATCTCAGCTCTGAAAGCAGAGAAAATAAAATTCAAAACAACGTGGCCATCCTGAAATAGGAGAACTCGGTAGGAGAGTCAGGGCAGACTTTTTATTTTTTTAAGTAAAAACAAAAATTATTTTCATTAGAGGCTAGGCCAACATTCTTAAGACAGAGGTTCTACTGTGGATGATTTATAGAAAGAATGGCAAACGCTGACATTTTTGTAAATATATGTGAAAGACATATAGCATCTACTGATTTTTGAAAGAACATTCATTTCTGATATTTGAAAGAACATTCTTAAAATCAAATCTAAAAAAAAAAAAAAGTCCCATTCTTGGTCAACTGAATGTGAACTTTAAATAGAATCCACCCATCCACCTATCCATCCATCCAACTCTCTCTACAGACAAACAGACAAACATATATATACACATACATAAACTATCAGACACATTATTTCTTAGTATTTTCTAAATCACGTTATATTAGACTCATAAAACTGTGGAGCTTGAAGGATACTTAGAAATTACCATGTCAAACTTTCTCATTGCATGGCTGAGGAAACTGAGGCCTCCCTAAGTTAAGGTCCTTACTATTCACAGTGAAAAATCCAGAATTAGAATTCAAGGCCCTTGATTCCTGTTTCTCTATTTCACTATTCTCATTTCCTCGAGCAATTTGATGGCTAAAAAGAGAATGAAGAGTTATCAAGAGGACTGGGGACACAGAATCACACGTTAATTTAAATTGGGCAAAGTGAGAGCTAATAACAAATTCGGCTTCCTGAAATTAAACATATCTTAAGCCAAGATCTTGTAACAAACAGTGCTTCTTATCTTCATTCCCTGGTAAAATGAAAGTAGCTTAATGTGTATTTGAAACAGACATGGGTCACTCACCCAAGGTCACATTTCCCAGATTCCCATAGCAACCCACCCTCAAAGGGACACAAGCTTTTATAAGCACAACTATGCTCTGTTCCTATACCATTTGCTTTATGATCTTACAGTGACATCCTGGAACTGGAGCCGCATGGCGGAGCCGGACGGCTGAGGTCGACTGGTGATCTCTAATATGGTTCTCAGCAGGATGTCCAGCAGGCTGGCCACTATCACATCTATTTCCTCCAACACAGATTTTTCCTTAAGAGAAAAAAAAATAGAGTTCAAAAAATGGTGGCTTATGTATCAGTCTCTCTTTAACAGAAAAGGGAGGAAAAACCCATATTTCCAAATACAGAATCAAAGTCAGGGGACCTGAGAACTTGGATTGGGCCTCACCTATGTCATCTAAGTAAATGACCTTCTTTTCCAGAAAACAAAGGCACAGGGAAATTCACAGCTCACTGTGAACTCACAGCTCACTCAAGAGTACCTAACGAGGCTGTGCAGTGGACACCTGACACGCAAATGAAAAGGTGAGGTGATGTCCTGGAAAGCACGCCAGACTTACTCAGAGTAGCGGCTATGCCCTGCCACGGTGTGTGATGTGATCCAGTCAGTTTGCCTGAGTCTGATTCATCACCTGAAAGTCTCTCTTGGGCCCCAAAGTCCTTAATTCTTTTTTATTGTGCTTACATATACTCTTCTCATCACTTGAGTAGCACAGGTCATTTTCCAGAGCTGTCTTATAAGTGCAGATGACTACTGCTATAAAAATGATTTTTAAAACATTCTCCATGTAAGATGAGCAAACAGCATTCAGTGTTAGATGAACACCAATAGCTCCAGACTAGACGTAAGACCAGTGGCCACGGGGGGCACAGCTCCTCTAAAGCAAAATTAGTACTTGTATCCAAGCCCCTAGGACTTGAGAGAGAAACCCAAATTGCTCTGCACTGACTGTATACTTAGTAGAGTTGGATTCTTATTGCATCTGCAGAAGACAAAACTCTGTGTCCAAAGGCTCCCTACCAAGAAGACTGCCATTCCAAAAAAGAACCAGCCAAACAAAAATAAAAACTCTTACAAAGTATGGGTTTGAAACAGCTTTTTAGCCAGGGATTTATGATAAACTGTCTTACACTTGCAAGATAACTACCAAGGGTTCCCTTCTACCTCCCAACCCCATGCCCCATCCCCAGGGCAGAGTTTCTGTTCTGAATTCCCTATCAGGTAGGTCCAAAAGCTGACTGTAACTTCCAAACTGACACAAACAGGAGAAATTTAAAAAAAAATCTTTTCCACTACTGCTGATACTGGTTTTCAGTTTTCGGCAGCGAGCTATCTCACTTAGCAGAATTACGGTTCGCAAAAACATTCACGCTAGGCATGCGATAGCTATTCTTTACTGAATTACATAGAAAAGTTTCAAAGCCAAACTAGCATTTCCTCCCATCGTCGCTCTTCTCCCCAGTCCAGGATCAACCTTGGGGGGCCTGGGATCATGGGGATGGGTAAAAGTCAGTCTTCCCTCCCCAGGCAGATTTCTCTTAATTGCACTTTTTATACACAGATCTTCTGACCCTTTCCTCTCAAATGCCAACCTGTTCCCATAGTGTAGGGCCCTCTCACCACTAATTCCACTGGGGGTGAGTGGGAAGGGGAGGTCCCAGGCCAGCTTACCACTGAGCCCTTCAGAAGGTGAAGGATCATAAGGATCATAAGGAAGAGTGACAAAGATGGGGAAACTATGTAGCATAGGTCTAGAAGGAAGGCAGAGAAATAAAAGTCCCTGCATTTCTCTGCATACACTGTCAAAGAGGACCATAATGCCAATTCACGGCTGCAACAGACAGAACTAGAACAGGACATCCCTTATATGGGAACTTCACATCAGCCCCGTGAGCCATGGACATGCACACTCTAAGAGTTGTCCCCATTTCTAAGTAAGCATGTGATTTTTTTTCTCTATTTGTCCTGTATCCTCTAATGCAACTATATTGCATCAAGAGTCAGGTACATCCATAGGAATTCCCAAATCCATAACAATTTAGTGATAACTGTTGAGGCTGAGTAATGACTGTAGTGAGAGATACCCTCAGTCTCCTGGAGCTTTCCTGTTTCTCCAACTTCTGCAGGGTAGGGCCCAACGGCCATGGCCAAGCTCAGAGCATCACCATGCAGCCTTCCACAGAATGAGCCCAAAAAGACTTCACTCTGCAGGCAGTAATTTATTCTTGCCACAGAGTATTCATCATATCAAGATTAAAGACACATGTAGGAGGCTTTGAGATTTCTAATTTTTCTCACTGGGTATTCAGTTCTTTCTCACAATACAAGTTTAGGGAAGCCAGGTTATTTGGGGTTACAGCAATCTTACAAGGTTAAAAAAAATTATTTCAGAGGAAAAATAAAATGTCCGACCCATCTGGAAGTAAAAGTTCAGAGTCTCAGAGGGTTACTCTTCAGTGTGGTTTCTCTGAAGATCTTAACATTTTTATTTCCAGAAGCCATTTGATGGGAACTACATACTATGACCTGTATTTACTTACTGAGCTATTTTTCTTGATGAGACAAAATACGTTGCTAAGGATACGTGCGCACATGATCAGGTCCTTCTGTTCTTGCAGGTGCATATGGAGGTGATGTAACACGACGGGCAGGAGAATGTACCTGGAATCTGGAGAGAGAAGCAGCGTTAGTGTCACATCTGTGGAGCCCCACACCAACCTTGCACAAATTCTTATCTACTCTTTAATCTAATTGTAATTGTTAAATGACTAACACATTTAAAAGGTACATGACTGATACTAAAAAGCAGTGGTTCCTTTCCCCAATCCATGATTCCTGCACTCAAGAGAGGCCTTTGATTCTTGTACTGAAATATTTTTAAAATTGTTTGTTTTACCTCCAAATATCTAAATGGTATGCTTACCCGGCCATTTTCTGATTTTTTCATTGAGATCGACTATTTACTGACTTCTTACTGTAGTAGATGAAAATTTAGGTTTTTTTTTTTTTTTTTACCTTCATTTCTTCTCCCCAGTCTCACAAAAACACCCCCCCGCCTCAAAAAAAAAAAAAAAAAAAAAAAAACCTATCACAATTTCTGGCTAAATTAATGTTTTGTATTTGCTACCATTCTGATTTCCAGTGCTTTGCACATGACCATGTTTTTTGTTCATCTGTCTTTGAAAGCTTTTGGGAAATTGTTTCTGGTAATCCAAAATTTCCTAATTGTGTGCCTTGCGTTGTCCCTTGATATCTATAAATTTGTGTCCTTCAGCTCTGGAAACTTGCCTTGAAATACTTCTAGGATTGTTTTCTTCTCTCTAGATTTTCTGTTCTCTGTCTGGAATTCTGACTACATTTACATCATGAATGTCTTAAACTATCTTCTCTTTTTAAGTACTTTATCATCCTTTTGTCCAACTTCTTTATCTTCAAGCTCTTCAATTTTTTAATTTATGCTCTCATACATTTAATCTCCAAGAATTCTTTCTTATTTGCAAGGCTAGTGTCACAGATGTGCCACCTGTGCTATCACACAGGTCCCTGAGCTCAGAAGGGCCCCACACTTGTTTTCATGCCCTGTGGCTCCTATCATGCGATTCCTAATAATTTTCAAAGAAGAGGCGCTGTATTTTCATTATGCAGCCACTCCTGTTTATTTCTCTGAGTGATATCCTTTCATAACATGTTTCATCGATCTTTTCTGAGTTAGTCAGAGACGATTTTGTAATATATATTTTTTTCTCCTTGAATTATCTTTCTTTCAAGTTCTCTTTTCTGTTTCTTCATTTTGGTCTCTGCTTGCACATTAAAGGTATTTCTACAGTATCTGGTGATTGTTGGTTGTCTTTACAAGTGAGCATTAAAATGCTAACTGGGGAACAAAACACAACAGCGTGCCTTGGCAAGCTTGTGAACTGGTGAAGCTTTAAAGCAGGAAGAGTAGGTATCCAGATGTTTCATCAGGAGACCCCCAAATATCAGAATCCAATATGCCTTTTCTTAGGCTGGCCAGTTCTCTACAGAGAAATCTGCCAATCTCCTCTCTGAGGAGCATGACACCATCATCTTTTAGTCATTTGAAATCAAGAAAGGAAGGGATAGGGGTCTCTCTGTTTAACTGTGAGGTCCCCTTTACGGTGCAGAGCCTAATTCTTGAATTTAGCACTGTCTGATCTCCTGAATCCAGGCATATCTCATTCACTTTCTTTAGGGAGTGAACTTTCCATTTTTGCCTGAATGAAAGGAGAGGACAGGGCAGGGTGCTAACTATTCCTTCTTAGGGCTTTTAAAAATCCAATTTCCATATTTCTAGCACCCTTAATCTGCAGATACCTGGTACTTTCTATTTTCCATAATTTAAAAAAAGTTTATCTTTTTTTAGTAATCTCTACACTCAATGTGGGGCTTGAACTCACAACCTGAAGATCAAGAGTCACATGCTCTTCCAACTGAACCAGCCAGGTGCCCCTGGATAACTGGTATTTTCAATTCCTGATCCTTTCTGAAACCGTCTTGAGCCATCTGCAGTTCTGAGAAGTAAACTAGTTTGTTCCTGGCCCTACTCCAACTCCACACACCTGTGTGTGTCAGCCTTCTCTTGTCTGCTGTCAGCTGCCACTCAACTTTGTAAAAACTGTTGCTATTTACATGTTATCTCCTCTCCCATGCTCCTAAAACTTGTGAGATTACAACATTTAAAAAAAAAAAAAACTTTACCGACCAAAGATACAAAAATGCTTTTTACAACTTCAGTCAATCAATTCTAGCAATAGGTAAAATACATATTACTTCACGAGGAGATAAGGTTTATCTTAAAAGCAAGGTTGTTCAACATCTGAAAATCATACTTGTATACTTTCATCAGGGAAGAAAGATAAATACTGCTGATTCTTGTTATTCATGCTAGGTAAGTTCGAACAAGTCACTGGGAACAATGAAACAGCAAATAATGAATCATTTCTCCTAGGAGAAATATACATACAAATATGATACATATCCCACATAGATAACACTGTTAAATCCTAAAAACAACTCATCCAGTTAGATTCTATTTTATTTAACAAAAGATAAAAAAGAGGTTCACAAGTGGTAAGTGAGTTGCCTGAGGCCACTCTACTAAGAAGGGCCAAAGGTGGAAATCAAACTATCAAATGGCCCCAGAGCTGGAGCTTCTTGCACTGCACTGCACTGCCCCCTACTGCTCCATCCTCTAGTTATCCCTGTAAGAGAGTGGAAAGGAAGGCAGAGCATTGCCTTGTTTGATCTCAGCTGGGAATGTCTGCATTCTGCTACTCAAATTTTTCACTGCTCTTTGCATGTCCATGAATGAATGTGAGAGTGTCACAAGTATTGATTTTGAGCTTACAAATACATTTTAGTAACTGAACCCATAACTAGTGAATTTTGACTTGACTGTACAAGTATCATTCCTTCATCAACGCAAAGTCTTATATTTATCCCGTTTGTCATTAAACTGGTATTTGAAATAATAAAGTAACTTATCCAGTATGTAGTTCAATATTCTGGAAAAGAAACAAGTAAGTATGCTTATTGTCCTGAGTGTTTGCTTTTCAATAGGATGTCATATGCACAAAACTATTATCTATTACGTGCCCATCATGGTCATATATTTGTGGATATGCCCACTTGCAAATTGCCCTAGCCTCTTTCCTTGATCTGCTTGGAATTTTAAAAGATGTCAAGTGTGCAACAATTTAGATGAATTATTCTGGATTTATTAAAACCCATGTGTCTTATAAATAGTTGCATAAATTATAATTCAACTTGACCCACTCAAGAAAAAAATGGACAGCTTAAATAACACTATACCTACTACAGAAACTGAACTTGTAGTTAAGAACCTTTTCACAAGAAAAATTCCAGGCACAGATGATTTCGACGAGTTCTGTAAAGCTTATGGAAGAAATCAAGTCTACAAAAATTCTCCCAGAAAATAGAATGAACAGAGAGCACAACTCTTTTTATGAGGCCAGCATTGATGCCAAAATTATAGAAAACTATAGACTGCTATCTCTCATAAACACAGATAAAAAAATCCTTATCAAATTTTAGAAAAATGAATCTAGTTTTATATATATATAAATACATATATATGTCCATATATATAAATACTATGATTGAATAGGATTTATCATGAAGGCAAGTTTCATATAACGTTTGAAAGTCAATCCATCAATGTTAATTCACCATATTAACAGATGTAGAAAAAAATGTACAAAATTTAGCATCCATTCTTGGTAAAAAACTATCAGGAAGCTAATAATGGAAGGTAATTTCCCAAATTGATAATGAGCATTAATGAAATGCCTACCTTTAGCTAATATTAATACTTAACAGTGAAAGATTGAATGCTTTCTTTTTAAGATCAAAATGAAGGCAAAGATGGTCAACCAACAACTCGGTTCAACACTATAGTGGATTCCTAGCCAGTATAAGAAGATATTTCCATAGGTAAAAGAATATACGATTCTGAATCCTAACAAAAATCATAGGGAATGCAAAATATTCATACCTGGGAAAGCGCTATTAATCAGTGTTCGCATGATTTCTCTTATTGGTTTACCAACACAAAGGGGTTTGGCCTCAAGTTTACCATTACAACAAACCACACAAGGTACAAGCCATTCCTCACAAGGCAATATGGAACATTAAAATCCAAACTTGTGAAGTAATTCATTGCAGGGTTCCTTTAAACTGTAAGTCTGACCAGGAAACTTAAGTAATCATTTAAAAATCAATCACTTGACAAAAAGAACCAAGTAAAAGAATCTACAAAATTAAATGACAGGAGTCACTGCCTAGTGATGATTAATTAGAAAGGAAGATAAAGCTTATCGGATGTGCAGAATTTGATTTCTAAAAATTCAGTTTGCAACCAACTGTTAAGAGAATATCTACTGCAAAAAAAGTGAGTAAGGTAGACAAATAATTCGTGTGTGGTGTGCATAAAAAGAAATATAGGACTACCTAAACCGCAGATTTGCTTTTTCTCCATTACTAGGGCAATGTCAGCCAATGCAAATGATACAGTCGGTGGGTAAATGCCAAACAAGCTGACTGGTTAAAATGCTAATTCTTACCTTTAAAAGGAAACACCTGGACTCATCAAGCAAGCTCCCCCCCACCCCCAAAAAGAAGAAATCCACTTTGAACAGATACCAACTTTCCAAACATTTAACAATAGAATCAGTTATGCAGTTTCTGTCCTTGAAAGGGTCAGCACACTCATATTCCACATCTCAGGCAAAGCTTGCTGTATTATGTATCTCATTGAGTGTATAAAGGAGTGACTTTCATTTACTTTTTATTTTGTCCGTACACACTTGAGTGGATAAAGCCAGCTCCCATGAGTAATTCTCAGTGGGTGTGGGGCTAGGAAGGAGAAGCAGCTATGAAATGCTGCTAGATTTCCTGCTGAGGTTAATTTTGAAGAAAGTCAGAAACTGGTCTTTACCTCCTCTACTACTAAGACTTAGATGAGGATCCTTGAAGTCAGCCTCTGTCCGTAGAGGAGTGAGGTCTGGGAGTCCTGCGGTGCCATGCAGGGTTGCCAGCCACTCTCTACAATGGGCGATGCAGGCTGGACACCAGCAGGGCCACCTCCGTAGCTGCTCCCAGGCAGCCTCAGGAGAGGGGGGATTATAA